CAACAGGGACATATTTTACATAAGCATTTTCGTTCTCGTGAAAGAAAACAAGGATCAATAAAATATATTGAGCTGGTACATCTAATGGCTGAAAATGAGTATCTTCTCTTTTTGTTTCAAGTCTGGACAAATGATCAGTAAAGACATCTTGATCAGACAAATTCTTTATGGACGCTTTGGTTTTCTTTTCCCTTTTCAGTTCTTTGTGGTCAAGAACCGAAAAGGGAAGGTTTCTCTCCATTAACACTATGTGGGGTATGTGGGTGGGTATGTTTAGAAAAGGATGCTTATTCAGAGGTTTTGACTTTATAGTGAGGTATTCCTTGAGGCATTGTTTAGAGGTGTATATACTTGGTGGTTTTATAAATAAGCTTAAGACATTCAGTCTTAGTTGTCAGTTTCTTGCCCAGTCTTGCGTTCTGTCTGTCTTATTCCATCCGACAGTAGAACTGAGACCAGCCTAATCCCTAGAAGTTTGGAACTAATGAACTAACTGCTGAGCTGCTGCCATGGAACCTGCACCCAAGCTATACTGTACTTCACACTCGATTTATTCTCCAGATGGCGAGCCCTGCTGATTGGGACCACCCCTTTCACTGGAGTGTAAAATGCTGAGAATTTTGGTTAAACATTTATTCTCAGGACATTAGCCGAGTAAGGAGATATTGGTTTGCATAGACACTATGACACTGAGAGAGTAAAATATCAACTTAGTCTATTTACATATATACAGCGAGAATAGACATTCATCTGGCAGCATAACATGACATGATACAACACATAGCATAGGAAAAAAGTGATCTGACTTACAGCAGATAAAATGTACCCTTTACACATGACTTATGTACAGTTCTGGGACCAATCAGAAAATACATTACTTCATTTTCAGTTACACAAAGTTTTATCATGTACCACAGCTGCACAACATTAAGTCTCAAACCTTGGTAACTACACCTGAATAAAATCTGTACATGATTCAGGTAAAATCAGCCATTTTACTTTCAACTATGCAACATTTATAATTAATACATATGCATATCAAAATCTCAACATAAAAGTGGACAGATATTGTTTTCTTTGCAGGTTTGATAATTCAGAACTAGCAACTTTCAAAGATGGTTCGTTATTAGCTTTAATGAATGCCAGTTGAACTTACTGCACTCATCTTCTCTGGTTTAATTTCAGTCTCTGTTCACGGTAGGGATGCTTGATTTATCAGCAGTGCCTATGTGGCAAAATCACTACATTCTTCCCGTTTAGAAAGAAACAACTCTGGCACTCCCGACTTTCTCACCAGTTAAGAGTAAAATGTTAAAAAATAGGGTATTACTATAATTACTGGCATCAAGTTGCACATTTAAATATTTCTTAGAACAAATTAAAGGTAAACATTGTACTCCTCAGAGTGTGAGTTTACCTCTGCTAGAGTTGGCATTGTGCACTTCCATCTATGCTGTTTATTCATTACCCAACCCATGTAGAGTCTATATGCTAAGATTTACCAGATCTTCCCAATTAATTTAATTGCCACAGTCTGGTCCATTCCATGAATTGCTTTGATTATTTCTCCATTTTGAGGAATTTAAATGACTTGTTGCAGAAGGCAGAATCGAAATTTTAATAATGTGGAGACAGAAAACAGCTTTTTCCAATCTGCTGTCCCTCAGTTATGACACCCGCTATTCCCAGCCACCATGCTGGTTGGGAATAACTACCGCTGTAGAGGCCAAAGGGCCAAGTCTGACAAACACTCTATCCTAGGGTGATGCAGCCACTTTGCTGAAACCAATCAGGAAACAAAGAACTTCTCTATGGCTTGTGAAGGAATCAGTTTCTGGTGTCCCAGCCCTAATGCCTTTATTGGAAAATAAGCCTCAGTGCTACCTGTACCTGCTAACAACTGCTTAGGATCACAGCCCAAATTTTAGGTACAAGATAAGGAACACAAATGAAATTGTAATTCTACTCCTGTCCACAAAAGACAGGCTGGTCGCCATGAAAGTTGCTTTTTTAAAAAAAAAAAATTCCTAACAATTTATACTAGAAGAAAATTTCTAAGTGATAATGCTGTTTCTTATGAGGAGGATGCTGACTTTCCAAGTGATAATTTATGTATATTTTAACAATATGAGTCATCTTGCACATGTCATTTTAGGATGCAGTGGCTGAAATCCAGTAGTAAGTCACGACTAGGCTAGGCCACATTGAATCAGTGTGGGTTTGGTGAGTCAACTCCTGCATGAGTTCCACGGATTCAAAGGCCTACTCTAATTGTGACTTACTACTGGATTTCAGCCACAGTTTTGTTCATGAGCAAATAAAAGTTGTTTTGCAAAATGAAACCAAGCCGTTTTGAAGCTGTCATGCATGAGCCTTGATCTAGAATAGAAATGTTGCTTATTTGTACAATTGTCTGAATTCCCCCAGCCACCTTGGCCACTGGCTGTGCTAGCTGGAAGACATTGGAGGTTTACAGTCCAAAAAAGTAACTCTTCGAAGCTCTCATCTGAAGCATAGTTTGTTGTCAAGAGAGGTGTGTAAGAGTCATTGTACTGGTTAAAGTGCTGGACCTTCGTTCATATCTCCACCCAGCCATGAAACGTACTGTGCCAGCTGCACCTGCTCAGCCTGAGTCACCTCACAGGGTTGTGAGAATAAAGTGGGGAGAAGGAGGCACATGTATCCTGTCTTGGCTTCACTAGAGAAAAGGTGAGAGGCAAACATAATAAAGGAAAGAAGGAAGGAAGGAGTGAATGTCCTTTTTCTTATGTCAGATGAGGTGCAATTCAGTGCAAGCAGGAAGTAATGATAATGGGATTTTAAGAATGTTTTGCCTGTACTACATTAGAATGTTTTGTTTTTTTTGTTGTTGTTTAAAGCAAACCTCACTTGAAGATTTATACGAGACAATTCTTATGTGATAGCTGTATTAAAGGCAGTCTTTGGAGATATGGGGTAATACAGTAGTTCCAAGCTGATGATTGTTTCAGGTGTCATTAACTTTCTCCCTTTTTCACACTAGCTGATGAGTGGCCATAGTTTCCTTCTGTGTAAACTTTTCCTAATTATTGGTCTCATAAATCAGTACATCCTACAGCTGTCTTAAACTGGTCATGGAGACCTTATTCTGATCAGTCCTGACAACTGTAAGCTACTGTTTCCTCACACTGTTTAACACAGACCACATTTTTCGACCTCTTCTGCCTGGACTCCCAAAGCGTGGTCAGTATTCGTCTGGTTTAAATCTAACATTTTCTGTTGCCTCGCTTGATTGGTTTTGCTTTGGATACTAACTTGATGGTTTGCCCCCTCCGTTTAGTTTGCCTCATTTCCTTGATAACTATTTCTAAGTCAAATGGCTGTATATTGTTAACACTGTTCCCCATCCCCCGCCACCCCTGCTTTAAAACGTTCATCAGTCAAATGCTTTAAAGTTTTATTAGGACTATAAAAACTCTTCACAAATGAAATTGCTTTTGATAAGTGGCCATTTTGACAATGAGAATTTGCTAAGGGCTGTTGCCAAGTTGAAGGAATTTGTATTTTGCAACTGAAATTGGCAGGAAGCAGAGTCCAAGGGCTTTCGTGATTTCCATCTGCATGTTTTTCTGTCTCTAGCCCAATAAAACCCTTTTATTTTGTCAAGCTTTATTTTGTCAGCTTTTCAGAAGGCAAATATTGTTGTGATATGGTCACTTGATTCTTCACAGATTGTACTGCAACCTAGGAACAATGGCTAGGGGTTTAATAACATCAGCAATGCACATCTGAGCATTACACACACACACACACACACACACATATTGGATTACTGGCTGTTGCTTTTTAAGAACTAAAATGAGTATTCTGTGAGTATTGACTTTTTAAATTCATTGTTTACATTGTTTATATTGCTAAAGGTTCTAAAGACCAGGTTTGGGCAGGATAGGAAGTACCACCAGCGATTTTGCTAATATTTATAGGAAGATACATTGGAAAAGATACCTAGTCCTTTAATTGTTAACAATCTTACTGACTGTTGCTTTTTAAGAACTAAAATGAATATTCTGTGAGTACTGACTTTTTAAATTCATTGTTTACATTGTTTATATTGCTAAAGGTTCTAAAGACCAGGTTTGGGCAGGATAGGAAGTACCACCAGCGATTTTGCTAATATTTATAGGAAGATACATTGGAAAAGATACCTAGTCCTTTAATTGTTAACAATCTTTCAAGTTTCTATCTCGGATACAGCTCAGTGGGTAACTTGGGGCCTCCCAAATGTGGCTGAGCTATGGTTCCTGTCATCTCCGAGTACATGTCATCTGCTTGGGGCTGAATTGTAGCCCAACAGTATCTGCTTGATGAGAGGTCCCCCACCTTGAATTACATTAGATCCTTTCTGATCATGCAATTGTATGTTTAGGGTGGCTCTAGAGAAGATCAAGGAGACCTCTGCTCATGGTATACATTTCTTGGCTTATCTCCACTAAATCCCCAAGCATCACTTTAAAAAGCATCTGCTGAGAGCCATAAGACCCCCTTGGAATGTGCCTTATTCTTTACTTGTTGTAAAGTTTACATTTACTTATGATATTTATTTATGCATTTTGATAGAGAGTTGTCATTTTCAAGTAAAAGTCCTTTCCCCCTTGGTCAAGATATTGCTGGATCTAAGTATATTTTCTCCACATAGCAGTGATAAGTCATTAAACTTCAGAAACTGAATTTTGAAAAGAATACCCCCATTGAAATCACTACTAATTACAACTGGTGAACAAGGCTTTTTATTTAAAAGATTTTGACAATCAAATAACTACCAGGCTGGCTTTAAAATGTTTACAATAGAAAGACTGAAGTGTAGTAAGTCACAGTTTGGGTCGGTCCATTGAATCAGTGGATCCTATGGAGGAGTTGACTCACCAAAACCCATTGATACAATGGGCCTACTCTGAATTGTGATTTCATACTGGATTTCAGCCAGTGTTTCTGATTACTACTTTTTTAAAAAAAATCTACAGGCAGAAGCAAGACTGAAATGTGTGAAAGCACTTGAAAAATTTGAGTTTGGTTGGACTGAAAAGTGCGTAAGGATCAATTCTGTGACTAGTGGTCTCGCAGAAGAAGATATGAAGGTCATTTTTGAGTCAAGCATCCTTCCTACAAGCCTGATGTTACCAAAAGTTGAAAGTACAGAAGAAATAAGATGGGTAAGTGAGGATTTGCCATTACCCCAGCTTTTGAGGAATGCAAAAGCTGGGATAGAGCAAAGCCTTTCTAGAGCAAAGCCATTGAGCTAAGCCATTGAGACTAGAAGGGTTACATTGATTAAGTTCATCTTTGCCTATAACTGCATTGTAGTATTTATAAATACTTAAGGTCCTCTTAAGCAAACAGAGCTGAATAAGGAATTTAGGATATATTCCCACATATAACTAGCTGAGAGTAACCACATTGAACACAGAGGCCTATTCCTTTCAGTAAATATACAGAGTTGTATTGTCATATTTTGAAAGATGTTTCAAAGAGTAAGATTTCCAATTGCATGTATACGTATATGACTAAAGCTGCACATAGAAGGTAAGTGACAAGTTTTACATTCCAAGTAGAATTGCTGTCTTGCATACTGTTTTAATAAACTATGCTATCTAACATTAAGGCAGAGTGTTTTTTCTTAAAGGGACACACACACCCCAGGGGGGAAAACCCTAAAAAAAAAGAGTAAGGACTGCCATGTGAATGTATAGAGCACAAGCCCTGGAAGTTTGGAAACTGTAGCTGAGAGAAGGGAACATTTTAATAACACATGAAAAAATTATGGTGGGGACAAGAAGGAAAGGTCACTCCTTGGGGCAACTAGAAGAACAAACAGGAAGCTTTTAACTAGTGTTTTTAATTAGCACAGATATTATTTCCTGTCCAGTTCTCTATTTCTTTGCTTTTAATTGCTGACAGGTGTGTTTGTGCTTCATGGCAGACTTTTCAGCCAATAAAAACCTGAAATGTAAATAGTTGGCATGTCAAATGACTTAAGAAAACTTTGAAATAGACGTAATTATGCTGAAATTGTTCTAATTGTTAAGAAGGGGTAAGTTTTATTTAGTGATACCATTATTTCAGAAAAATACCACTAAAGTCATGATGCCTTTATTGTCTCGGTCTGGGAAACCTGAGTGCAGGCTGAGCAGGGGAATCCATATCAGCTCTGAGTTCTATAAGGAGAAATAAATGTAGCTGGAACGTACAACTTCTATCCCAGAGCCACATCTTTCCCTAAATTATATTTGTCAGCTTTTAGGATACGAGGAGGGCTTGTTGCTGGTTTTGCACAAGCAGCAAGTCAAACAGTAATTCACTCCTGTTAAATTTGTTCATTGTGAGTGGATTTAAAAAAAAAACTTCCCCAGAAAACTTGAGGCTAGCTACATCACATAAGAAATAAAGAACAGTTCTATTACATAGTCAATAATCTTGCCCCCAGAAATATATGGGTGATGTAATCTTTTGGAAAGAAAGATCCGTGGGCCTCTTTGTTGATTTTGCCACTGCAGACTAACCCACGTGGCACTGGAGGGTGGTTATAAATGTTCCTATCTCCATTGCAGCAGAGAGATGTCCATCAGTATCACCCAGTACATCTTACACACCCTGGCTTCCATAGGTCTTGGTTTGGTTTCTAGAATTTTCCTTTCTTAAAACAAACCAGCAACATCAACTTACAACACCTCGCTACATCTCTTTCTCTCACTTTTTTTTTTTAAACTGTTTTGAGGACATACCAAGTTCAGTGACACTACTGGCTTTGTTTTAAGGCAGTGAGTGCAATAGAAAGCTTTTTTGCTGTTTATTTTTTTCCCCCTTCATTTTTATTTATGTGAAGGATAAAACCTGGAGACTAGTCCACAACTAAAAGATGGGCTTACTTGTTTTCTTTTGTGTGAGAATCTCCTGCTTTCCTTTTGTCCCTAGTATGGGTACTTGTTTGACTGGCGTGGCTTATTGGACTATAACAAGCGTAACTCTCGCTCCTTTGTCATGGGACAATTCTCCCACAAATCCAGAACAGTGGGCATTCTTCCCAACACACTATCGAGTGTGCACTGGAATTGAAAGAATTGCTAAGAGCTGCTCCTTCATCCCCTCCCTGATCTTTGTTTTCCCCCCTCCTCCTTTTTTTTCCACCCCCTTTCCCTGAAATGAACACTTTACCAGGCCGGAAACATTTAATCGTCTCCTTTTGAGGGAAAAATTAATTGAAACTTTTCCACTAGTTGCCTTTTGTATTTGGTGCTAATAACAATTCTCTTTTTTAAAATAAAATAAAATAAAAGGGTTGCTGGAGATTTGATCAAAAATTCTTTCCTTTAGCTCCAAAATAGGAAGGCATTAAAATAAAAAGTTAAATAAATGGGTGTTCTTTGGATTTTTAAATTGCTAAACATACAAAGCATCTGCCATTTTGTTTTGATATTAATAAACCATTTCACACCTCCTAAATGGTTAAAATTATCAAGACTACATAATGACAGATTCCCTTTGTTTTATTATTAATGTTGCAGTTCTGAGCACACAAATTCACGTCTCTTTTTTGCAGTTGCTTTGTGCTATACTGCAAACATTTTGATTGCAGATTTTCTCTTAATTCCTTAAATTCTTTGGCTTACTAGCCTGTGGAAAGGTTTGGCAAGCAACAGTGGCAGCCCTCAGGCACTCATATTATACAGAGAAAGAGAGAGAAGGTGAGAATGCACAAAATTCTCATTGCAATAATGCTCCCCCCTCCCCCCCTCTTTTTTGGCTAACATAAAGTTATAGCAAATTGCTTAGAAGGATTTTTTTTTCTTTTAAAGATTTCAGTGGTTAGATTTACATGTCTTTGGGGGAGGGGTGAAGTTGAAGTGGGGGGAGCTAAAAGGGGAAATAACACCTCTAATCCAGCTTCTGGTAAATAGGCTGCCAGCTTTTAAAATGAGTTTCCTTTCTATTAGTCAGAATATTATGCTAAGCCTTAAGCATTAGTTTTTTATGTTGCCATAGCAGCCTTATTCCTGCAGGGTTGTGACCTGCGATGATTACAGTACAAAGCTTATAGGGTCTTGAAACCCCCTTTGAAGATGAAAAGTCTTTGATGGTTTATATTTATGCAAATCTCTTAGATATGATTTACCCAACTGAGACTGAATGGAGAGATGATTAAAATTCCCTTTTCCTTTGATATCCATTAATGGTTAAATATTCCTTAAATATAAAATTGGTGCATGTTTCTCCACCCTTCTTTATTGACTAAAATTTCCTTAAAATACCTGTGATATGTTTATCTCCCAACACACTACTAGATGTAGACAGACATAATAGATTTACAATATATAGAGGTGGTTTTCCCCTTGCCCGCCCTTCCCTTTTGAACGGGGGTGATGAAAAAAAAATCTGTACAAGAGCTTTTGTATGTTTCCAGATGATAGATTTCAGAATCTGGGCTACCCCACCGGCAGCTCAGAGCTAGCTGTGAACTGGTCTCATGGAAAAAATTGGAGAGCTTTGGTCTTCAAAGAATTAAACTTCCTTTTTAAGGCCCTTCCTAGGTAAGCTAAAAATTAAGAAGAAAAGGCTTCTGGAACAAAGGGTAACAGTGCAGTAATGAATAATGTGGGTGCCACTTTGGAAAGCAGGGGAACATTCACAGCCCTGTCAGTGTCAGACATGAAACAAAACAGAATGTCAGGTGTATCAATACATCTTTGTTTTTAAGACCCTACTGATTTGCATCTGACAAAGTCAGGGTGAGGGGTGTTAGGCAAATATTTTTGCAACTAAACCTTTACTCTTCAAAATATACAGTAATGCTGGGCTTTCTCAAAGATGGGCCCAGAAGAGCAGACCTCTTTCAAAGCTTGGTGGGGGTTTCTTCATTAGCATTCTGAGCTTTGTTTTTTTTTTCTGTTTGTTTGTATTTCATTTCACTGCAAGGTTCAGATATCCTATTTTACAGATTAAAAAAAACCCAAACAAACAGTTACTTTTCCCTCACTTTCCAATGCTTTTAGTTTACAGAGAAATTTGCATACTACTTAAAGGGCAGAACTCTAGAACAACCTGTGAATTTCATTCCCTTTGTGGAAACAGCAATGGGGTTACTCAATTTTAAGGTAAGTAATATTAATCTAATTAAGTGTTCCTGCACAGAATTCTCGGTTAATAACTGAAAAGTTTAATAAAATGTCACATTAATTTCTTATTCTATATGCATATGTTAGTCCAAATGTTCATCTCTATGTAATATAGACCCTTTCTACATTATAGGTGCCTTCTGTGTGTTTTTTAAAAAAATTCTTTTGGCATTTCTGTTTCATTTTAGTGCAAGCCAATAAAATACACAAATGTTTGGAAAATATATGAAGATCTCCAAAATCAATATAATGTTTATGAATATTCTAACAGCTTTCCTAAGTTATTTACTTTCAATTAGACTCCTTCTTTCCTTCTTTTTTAACATATAGTTTCAGGGTCTTAATGTAATATCAAGAAAACAGTTTCTCTTTGCAAAGTTTCAAAAACCAATAATGTTTTAAAAAAAGAACAAGACTGGACGCTCATGTTTCACAGTGAGAACTGTGAGATTTTCTAGGGCCTCACCTATGAATAAAATGGGAGTAAGGTGTGAGACGCTGCCCCTTCTGCACCTGCCCTGTAAACACATTACTTCTACCTCCTTCCCCCATTTTGAAGCTGATCAAATGTATGTAAATGGCTCCCACTTCTTGGCATCCAGCCTCTCTTTCTAGGGAGCAAAGATATTAGCTATAATGAAACTGAAACACGAGTGCACCCCTCCCATGCCAAGATTTCCTTGAAAAGTTTTATATTATTAGAAGGAACTGCTAGGAGGCCGTTATGGCTACTGTGCTGATATACATCACATTTTCCAGCATGGCTCAAAGTTTCCCCCCCGGCTTAAATGTAACAGACTGAAAATTACACATGTTCACATTTAACAAAGGGTATACTTACTGGTTTAATGTTTTTTTGTGTTCCTGTTCTTCAGTTTCAACAAAGAGGGAAGAGAACATTATTCCAGAAAAGGCTGAACCAGTATCATATTTGTAAATGATCTGTATAAGCCACAGTATATGGGGGCATATCTACCATATTAATTAAAACCAACAAAAGCTATTTAGCTAGTTGTAGCTCTGAGCTGGTGAATCCTAGCTAATTGTGATATATTTCAGTTTACTAAGCTACATTTTTAAAATGATTATTACAAACTGCTAAAATATTGAGATAAATGTGTTTAGTAAACCCCAAGGTATTTGATTGCTAAATTATATCCTATGCTACTTGTTGAATTTTGTAGCTCCTGTAATCATTTAATGACATTGGATAATAATCTACCCTATGCCGCCCCAATAAACTGTGATTAGAGAATGTGTATCCTCCATTTGCAGTGTGTTTCACCAAAGATAGCAACCTTAGTATTGTGAGGATAGAAAATGCTTTCAAATGGAAAAGCATTCTGACATGATATGTGGCCTGCACGTTTAACAAACAGCTGCTTGTTTATTACCACAATACGAGTCCTGAGGTAGCTGGCATAGCAGATGGTTTTTTGGAAAAACCATTCAGATGACAAGGATTTGCATCCTGTGTTTAGACTACAACCCTATATGTACCTAGTTTCTTGGGAGCAGGTCCTACTGCATGCAACCTGACATATTTTTGAGTAGATATGTAGTGTATAGGATTCACTGGATATATCTCTGTCCAATAGGGAATTGGTACAAGTTTGTGTCATAAGAGTGACTTGTTATTCCTTATTTATTTTTCTCAGTAGTCAAGAGAGTCCTAGCAACCTTATATTCAAGGAGTACCTTTATCTGAAATACAGTATTGGTAATCGCAGACATTTTGAACAGCCTGCATCTTTCACTAATGTTTGCCTTGCATTTAAAAGGCTGTTTGTGAAGAAAGTCAAAGGACGGGACCCCGAGTTGGCCTTCATTTGGATGCAGTAGTCTTTGGAGGTGAAGATTTTCGTGCAAGCATAGGTGCATCCTTTTATTCTTATTGATGTTTATTATTAATACCACAGTATTAAAATCATGATAATAATGAGGATGACAATGGTAATAATCCTGTGTTTTGCTACAGTCTTAGACAATGTTAGTCTCCCAGAAGTATGGTGAAATCAGTAGTAGTAAGCATATGTGACTCTGTACTGTAAATGTATCATTATTTTAAATCTTGTATCCTGCCCCAGTGCCACCTTTCACAGAGCTGCAATTCTTTATATTACCTCCCAGACTCCTCACTATTTATCAGTAAAGCTGTTGGTACTTCCATTGTTATAGTGGTGATTTTGCAGAAATGTAATTTATGCATCATTTAATACATTCATGTCTTGGTGAGCATCTCAAGGAAATGTAACAAAGCATAGATGATCTAAAATCATATTATGAGGTTTGGCATTTTGGTTTTAGTGGGAAAAGAAGCCTATTGCTATTCTTTGATATAATCCACAATTATTTGTATCCTTAGTGTTATTTTTCCTGTCATCTTTTTTACTGTCCATGTAAGCAATGGCTATTTCTTAATGTCTTTTCTGTTTTCAGATATTCCCACCCTTTTTGTTTTAAGCCGCCTAGAGTGGTCGAAATGACTAGATAGGCGGGGTATAAATACAATAAATACAATAAATACAATAAATAAATAAAAACTTCACATACAAAAATCAAACCCTCTCTTTCTCCAGCATGCCTCAAATAAATAAATAAAATTTCTCTAGAATAAAAAAAAAGTATGCCAGAATCTTCTTGCTGTACTCATGTATGATGGGCATATCTGCCAAATTACCTATTTTGATCTGGTTCATCTAATCAAAAGTTTTTGAATGTGTCCAGAACCTATTGTTCCAAATGCCTAAGGGGCAATATTTTAAAGTAATTGTGAATAAGGAAGTCTTAATTTATTCCTGATAAGATAACAATCTAGGTAGAAATGGTGATGCTGAGAACAAGTGGACAGATTCCTTTTTTGGGGGGTGTTTCTCACACTAGCATACATGCAAGACTAAGACTCCGCAGGTTTTGTAATTTTAATTGTTAATATCAGAAATGTGGCTCCATTGGAGGATCCAGACAAACACTTTCTGAGGCCAACATTCTAGACCTGAAGAAAGTATAACTGAAATAGTTCAAGCAAGCAATACTCTTGCTTCCAAATAATGTATACGATCAAAGTGTAAACTTATGACCAAAAATTAAAAAAAATTGTCACCCTAAAGTAAATGGAACTGTTCTGGATTAAATGTCTTCAGCGTGACTATTCTACTGTACCCAAGGCTTTATCTTTGCAGTAATGCTTTTCAGTGTATTAATAATAGAGATAGGGAAATGTTACAAAAAGGTATTCCTTATTTGCTACTGCAGAAAAACTCCTTTTTATAGCTCTGTTATTAGGAGCATGGTTCAGCTATTTATTTCAGAAATATAAATGGGAAGAGGAGCACAGTTTTTGTGATAATAGTTGTTTTTAGAAATCATAGGAATTTATATAAATGTAGGAAACGGACATTTGCCAAAAGAAAACAAATTGTAAACAAATACGTAAGAACATTTCTGTTGCAATTTTTAAAAAGCAAAATCCAGCCTGATCAGTATTTTGCTTTTTCTTTTCAGGTTCAACGAGTAGCAAAGACACCCACGATATTCTTTATGCCAGGCAAAACATTGTCGTCACGGCCAAGGCTTTTGGCTTACAGGCCATAGACCTTGTATATATTGACTTTCAAGATGAAGAGGGGCTTCGTAAGCAGTCAAGAGAGGGTGCCTTAATGGGTTTTACTGGTATGGCTTTCAGATAATGTTTAAAATATATTATCTCTTCTCCTTAATCATAAAACAGATGTGCTTTATAGTGCTGACTCCCTGTTCACCTGTTCAAGCTTACTGTTGGGAGGAGCAGGGAAGTCCAAAATGCTATAAAACATTTCACAATTATGGTTGCCTGTAAAACGGCAGGTGGAAGATTCCAAGTGCAAAATTAGACCCTTAAAAGTCTTTCAATGAGTCACACTCAAGTGTGTTACTCTTTTTATTATTAGTGAACTTACAGTATAAACTCTGGCAGCAGTATGTAGCTCCTCCTGTTCAGATGAGAGACAATCTTGGCTTTACAAACTTGGACACAGCTCAGTTGCCCATTCAGTGGGCCTGGGGGTATACATTGACGCTCAGAATTGCTGCCACTGCATTTGAGCAACCAGCGGTTTTAAAAGCCCTCAACAAATTTGAATAAAAGTCACACACACAAGCACACACACATATACACATACACACACTGATCTTGACTCCATATATTCATTTCAATTAAGACAAAAGTCTTGATAAGTGTGTGCATTTTTATCATGAAATGGTACAGATTAAAAAAGCAACTGCTACTTCTACAACCCAATATACTAATTAGGTTGTGATAGTTATTTTCATGTCAATCTTTCTCTTTGAGCTGCTTTCCAGTATTCTGGCTTGTTTCCCAGTAATTGCCTGTTCACCTGATGACACCTACGGGCAGTAGCAAGACAGCATGATCAAGCGGGCTTCTTACAGCCAATCCCTGTAAACTAGATGGTTTGTTCATGATTGGTGCGCCAGGTCATGCAGGCGCCCCTATGAGACGTGATACTTAACAAAGATTGCAGCTTTATGATAAAAATCAACTACTTGGCTTGCACACACAGATTATAGCCTGCTTTCATGAACAACAGCACTGACATTTCAGTGATACATTTCATTCAAGTTAGATGTGAGGCACTTGCAGGTTTTAATATGGGGGTTGGGGAGTGGGGGCGCGGAAGGCTTTGAAGCTCTGAATCTAGCAAGAAACATATTTAAAATGAGAAATCTGGAGTCTCAAATACAGAAATACAATGCACTTTGTTTTCTGGAGAAATAAAGGTTAAAGAATTACCCGAAGCATCAGTTTGTCCCTTAAGGCAACAGCAAAATAACAACAGCAATAATAGTCTTCTGGCATCTTAAAAGACAAACAAATGTATCATTGCATATGCTTTCATACGTTAAAAGCATATATCATAATAAATATGTTAGTCTTTCAAGTACTAAAGGACCCTTCATTGGGTTTTTGTTTCTGCTAAGATGGTGGCTACCCCTCTGGAAACAATAATGAAATAATAATCTCAAATTATGAATTATTCCTCTATCCAATTCATCCTCAAGACTCCATCTCCTTCCCAAGGAATTGTCTCCTGTTAAACCAATGATTGGTATGCAAAATGCCACATGTAGCACAGAGATAGATTTATTCCTGCCTGAGAGTGGCCTCCCTTTGCAAAATTGCTCCATAGTTTGGAGATCCTCCAGAAACACAATTCCTGTGTGCCTTCAAATCAATTCCAACTTATCCTGACCCAATGAATTAATGGCCTCCCAAACATTCTACGATTAACCTCTCTCCTCATCTCTTATACACTAAAGGTTGTGGCTTCCTTTGTTGGGGTCAACTCATCTGCTGTTAGGTCATCCTGATTTCCTACTCCCATCCACTTTTTGTACCATTATTTTTTTTTTCCACAGTCTTGTCTTTTCATGGTATGTCCGAAGGACGGTTGTTTATTTGGACATTTCACCTTTATCTTATATCAGTCTATTTTTCCAGCTAGTCCAGTGCTCTCTAATTCCCAACAGCAACTCCCCAAATTACTAGTCAATAGCATGTGCACATCCTCTGCACCTGTTTCTTTCACTTGGAGATGCCAAGGACTGAACCTGACGCGCAAAACTGGTGCTCACCCAGTGAACTGTGGTCTCTCCTCATGAGACCAATTGGATTGCCACCAAAAGTAGAAATCAAATCGTGGCTGAAATCCTGTTTCTTACCATAGTCTGTCTTACAAGAATAGGTCCAGAGGGGATTTGTGAGTCTCCCCTTGATTCAAATGGGCCTACACTAGTTGTAACTTTAGTTTATTGAGTCACATCTTGAATCAATGGAATTTATGGAGATGACTTGCCAGATCCCCACTATTCAATGGGCCTACTCTAGTGCGACTTACTACATTACACAGCCAGATTTCAGCCACTGTGTGACATGTATAAACATCGATGAATTTTTCATGCTAGGTACAAACCTCTCTAGATTCTGAAAATGTTTTCAATAAATATATTAAATATGTAAAACAGAATAACACTCAAACATCCCACTTTCTGCTCTTAATAAAGATGATGTTCACAAGATCTGATTCTTTTATTTCACATTAATTAAAGTACATTCTGATTATATTCTCAAAATCATTAACATTACACCTACATCCTTTATGAATACAATAAATACACCAAGACAAATAAAAAACAACACAGACAAGAAGCTTCTATGCAATTCTGAAAGTTACTTCTGGGTATGTAGCTGTCTGTATCACACATTACACCAATTAAAAATATGCTAAAAGGCTGGATGTTCCCCAAAGACATTTTGGATATCCTTAAAATCCTTTATTGGTGCATTTTATTCCAGAATAATTAACTTGAAGCATATTCCTAATCACTAAAATGAAAAAAAAGAGTTGCCATTCAGTCTGGGTTGATTTACAGGATCTACTTTCCAGGGACAGAAGGGCTTTACTCATGGGAAATGCTTCTACTCAGTTTATAGGGAGGAGCACACCCTGCCCCCATCACCACACTTCCTCCGTTCACCACAGGATCCCTGCTTTCTGTAGCTTTTTCACAGAGGGAAGCTGGAGGGACTAGTGTGAAGACAGGACAGAGAATTCTGCTTTTAATAGATCTACGATCCAAAACATTCATCATTGCTCTCTGGTTACCTTGATTAATCTGCATTCAAAGATCTTGTGAATGGCCTATCTCAGAGATGGAAATAATTTGATTATCTACTTCAATTGTGCTAACACTTTAGTTACTCAAATTAAAATTAACTTTCTGAAAAGAGTCAATTTCTTCTTCTTAATTTATCAGGGATTATATTGTGACCAGAATAGGCAGTGTATGGTCTAAATAGGGAAGAGGGTTTCACCCTGAAATTTTTGACTGAGCCTTCCTTATTCTTAGCATGAGGTGCCCCCAATTATAAACATTGCTTCACATCACAGCTGCTATTACATAAAGAGCTGTTGATATGTTTCAATGTTGGTCTTTACTTGCATTTGCCATGATATTGCAAATCTAGAATTATCTGTATGGTAAATCACACCACACAGACAGCTAATTGTCTGGTAACAGTCACCATGTTGAATGAATTACACTGGTGTCCATGTAGCAGCTTTGCTGACTGCTTTGCTATAGTGCAGGAAATAAATTTTGAGAAACCAGCAAATAAATGTTGGCTAGGCCCCAGATATTGCTGCTCAATACATCCCTATTCATTTGAATTGAAGCTGAGGAAGAATAATGGGCTTAAAAGGTCAGTGGACTGGTGATCTGTATGTGCTCTTCACCATTAAGAACATTTTTATTATGTTGGATTCTAGTGAATGAGCAAAGGTTTTCATAAATTTTAATCTCTCTAGTGGGACACCAGTGATGACAGACAAATACAGATGCAAGATTCTCTTGTAATATATTGCCATGTTAGCCTTGGGACATGCCAGTTCAAGTCCTTGAGAATAATTAATTAACTAGCTCTTCTAAAACTCGGAATGGATCTTCCGTACCTGCTATCGGGTAAAGTTTACCATAGGTAGAAATTCATATCTGCAGTCCTCTGTAGAATGGGGTAGGCTTAATTAATTCTTCTAAGTAGGGAAGGTCCTCAATCTGAAGTTCTGGGGTAAGGTACTCCCCTGATTAAATGACAAGTCGCTCCTGCTTAACCTATATGGAATTTAGCCAAATATTGCTAATGAGTATTAATCAGTAGATTTGCTCGCAGATGTAGAATGGTTAGCTCTTTTTTTAAATTCCTGAATATTTTATGCATTGCAAATAAATGTAAGGTTCAAAGAAGTTCATTTGAAGGTAAACCCACACACCTCTGTGGAAGACAACAGAGTGTGGTTCAAGCAGATCCTTTCCTTTTTATGAGAAGAAATAGCTTTAACTTTTCCTTTTTAAAATATTCACCAGATCTTTCCAGAGTATACAGACAATAGGGTGGCCAGATGCAAAAAGAAGGCATGGCTCCTGTGCCATTAAGTGTTGTGCAAAAGGTGGAATTTCAACAGGTACAGCTTGGTGCAGAAAGCTACATCTGCTGAGATTCCCAGTTATGTTCACAATTAAAGGCACAAGAGTCCTGCTTTCTTTTGAATCTTGCTACCCACTAGTCATTACTTGATTTTTGGAACAACCTAAGGCTAATTTAGGTCTTACTACAGATTTACATTATTTTCTGTCAAGAGACTTCTCTTGGATATGCTCTCTGGTGGGAAAATTACCCTACCATTTTGTTGCACAGTTTATACGGCACTTTATTTAAAATCTTACTGTTAATAACGTTACTAATATGAGAAAAATAACCTGCAGTCTATTCCTATCCCCATTCTTGTGGCGTTTTTTTTTATCAGAAAAACAATAGGAAAAAAAAACCCCAAAGATTTTACTGGAACTATTATAGCATAAGTCCTAGGTTGATGCAAAAGCATGTTTTGTGAAGATTTGATAGCTCTTGTTCAAATTCAGAGAGAGAGAGAGAGAGAGAGAGAGAGATTTAAAGACGTAGCAACTCAGAATGTATTGGAAGCGCAAACAAGCTAACACACAAGCATCTTGTGTTTGCACTGTTTTGTACTAGCAGGGTAATTTCAGAAATGGAAAAGAACATGGCAAGGTGCACACTTCAGATATATGACAGATTGTACCCTGTTCAATAGTCTCATCAGGCATTACTTGGTGCAATTTCAAATGTAACACAACATCCTTTTCATACATTACACTAATACTAATGTGGAGCTGGGTGTGCCTACCTACCCACCCACTAAAGCACTTGGATATCTATTTGACAGTACTGTATTTGTAGTGTATGCAGCTGCAGTCAATCATTTCATGTGTAACCAAAGTCAATGGTGTGGTAATGGCTTCTGATTTCTTCTTCTCTTGGCTTCCAGCCATATGTGAGTAAAAATGACATTTATTTCTGAAGGAATCATTGCCCTTACTACCATATCAATCCTGAAAGAAACTGCAGCCCCCACAGCACTGGAGAGGTATTACTAGGTTTCAATTTAGAAGAGCTGAGCAGGGCTGTTGAGGACAGGACATTTTGGAGATTGTTCATTCAAATGGTCCCCATAAGTTAGGGATGACTTGATGACATATAATAACAGGTATACACTGAAATACTAGAGAATATTGAAGCAACAAATGAGACATCTTAAGTCAAAATTTATGAGCCCCATTGGTTCAGTTGGGTGTATTCTAGTTGGTATTATTAGTTGAATTTAACCCTCTGCCCCCAGTTTTATTTTATTTATTTATTTACCCCACCCATCTGGACCAATGGACTATTCTGGGCGGCAATTTCTTATTCTAAAGCAGCCATTATCAACTTTTGGGGGGCCATAGCCATAAACACAATATGAAAGAAATATAGGCCAAATCAGGACTGTACAACGTGCATAACAAACTTTATAAGTCTGTGGCCCCCTTCAAATGTGCCAGGGTTTCCCAGAGGGCCATATGGCCCCCCATTGAGAATGGCTGCTCTAAAGCATGCTGAGGGGTGTTTTCCAAATAGGAGAGAGAAATATTAAGAAGTGTCTAAATTCAATAAGATTTCAAGTTTCATAACTTTTTGTCTTTACATTAGTAGTAAAAGTGGTAGGGTTGTGAGAAACTCTAAGAAACGTTTTGGACAATTATTGTTAGGACTGCAACATGTCCTCCAGTGTTTGTTTGGCATTCAATAGATGATAAATGATAATTTTAGTTATTTCAAGCTGGTAAGAATGGTAATTACACAATTCTATTGTATGACCTTCTGTATGACTGTCCCTCTGTAATTTTAGAACAAAAATTCTTTAACCTTTGGGATCACGTAGTTCCTATCACTGATCCTTAAATGCCTCCTTCATTTTTTTAAACCTTCTACAGTGCACCTGTGTAACAGTAAATCCAATTTTATTCAACTGGCCTTACTCTTTAGAAGATTCACATAGGAATGAAGCCTTACCATATGCAGCAGCCATGTTTTCAGTCATCATTTCTAAATATAGGATCTGTTTTGTATCGGAATAGGGCCATGTAACCAAGAAGGAAATACCCTTATTGGATCCACCCTTACTTAATCAGGATGCTGGGTTGGATTCAGATTGCTATAGGGACATTGAAATTAATGGTACTTCTAGTCATGACTGATAGAAGCTCCATTTGTTTCAGTTGCTAAGTTTTCTCTCAATAGGGCATGGAAAAATAATCATCTATAAGACTAAAGCTAATGCATTGTCTATAGAATTGTCCATCAACTGTAATATTGTTTATGTAAATGATAATGATAAACCCTGGGATGAGACTTCATCACTTTAGTCATTACAGCTTCTCTAGTGCAGCATGCTGAGCAGCTAGATATGAATATGAAATAGTTTAGGCTTTTCTGCTTTTTTGCAGAAAAGCAAAAATAACACCATCATAGAGTTACATAGAAGACTTGACGGGTATTGATTTGAAGCACGATATGTCAAATGGTACTGCAAAAAGGATTTCATGGTCATAAATTTTAATGCCTTCCAGTTTTGCAACCTCTCTGTGACTTGTCAATAACAACAGTTTGGTTTAAAATATTTCCCTTGTTTCTCCATGACACTGAAGTCCATTATACTGTATAGCTGTTTTCAGTACAGAAGGTGTAACAAAAGGGCCATAAATCAAATGGTGTGTTTTATGTTTTTACTGATGTCACAATTTTGAAAGCCTGAAGTTCTTTTAATGAAATAGCTTTTAATGAAATGTTTCACCCAGGTTTATGTTACAGCAAAACACCTTCCTTTTTTAAAAAAAATTGACCAGTGTTTGGGGTATTCTATAACAGTTTTCTTTGGAAATGTATACTTTTCTGGGTTTCATAATGAATTGCCTATTCACAATTTAGTTTTATAATTTGATCATTTCAAAGTAAAACAGAGTACAAATGAATATTCATTTTATTGACGTCATAGCAAACATTTTTTAATTTAGGATAAGGAAGATTCTGATATACCTGTATTCAGAAAATTACCCTAATTTCTTCACTTTAATATTTTTCTAGAAATCAAATTTTGGAGGATTTTATATATTTTTCCATCTGTATTAGATTGAACATTTAAATTCCAAAGTATAATAAATATACTTGATTCATAATAAATTGTAATGTAATTAAAATAAAACAAAATTAAATATCCAAAAATGCAACTTGGCTGGGGGAAAAGCATCTTTTTTGCAAAGAACAATTTCCGGGTAACTAATTCTGTAAGAATTAAATAATTGTTTCAGTAATAAATCAAAAGAATTTTTATTTCACAACAAATTATAGAAACCAGCTATAAATCTCTTCTTGCTATTACTACTGTTTTTGTTGGCTTATTATTGTTGTTTGTGCATGGCATTATATTGTTTTATTTTTCTGAGCCAGCTGAAGTTATACAGAAAGGCAGCATATAAACATTTGTATAAATATATTAGGACTTAATATAGACTTTCTCATGAATTTTAAACTAACTGAAAATGAATATACTTCAGAAGAATATGCAACTCTCATATAAATAGAATAATATAGTTGACTGTTGTACAACTTTTTTTCTGTAAACGAAGAATTTCTGAAACACTGTGCGCACTCCAAAATGTAATGCTGCCTGCCATTCCATTGTATTTTTCATTAGAACCAATCAGCTATAGTCCTTTCCAAACTACATTTCCGCCTGCTCTCAAAAGAAGTGTCAAGGGGGTAAAAGAATCTGTTTTAAAGTAGCCCAGTGAAAAGACTGAGATCTTCACTGTAGTCAAGACCTTCAGCAGAAAATAAAGCATTTTGAGGAACAGGACCATGATTGTTTTCCTGTTTGACTTATTTTGTAATTGTAGGGAGTAAATCTTCTTATGAAGGAATGGAAGCATATCAAATTTTAATGTTTCTAATTTTTATTTCTTACACAGATTTTTAAAACAGTGCAAGGTGGCCAGCTACTATAGCTTTAGGCTGTTTAAAATAATAGAAATGCAAGAATGAATGTCAGTGTCAACATAATTCTGTATATATAATTCTATATTTTTCTTAGAAAATATCTATATAGAAATATTATTTCTTGTAAGCAGTTTTTAAAGCAACCAAATATTTAATAAAAAAGGCTTTTTAATCACTAAGCATGGTTAATGCTTGATTCTCAGGTTATTAATCTTCTAATATTTTAAAAATCTATTTTTTTTCCTTTTAGCCTTCTAAAAATGAAACTTAAGCCTCTATTCAATCTATCACCACACTTTGTATAAAATATAATAAAACTTTTAATCAGAGTGCAGTATATCACAGGCTGCAAATATTAACTGATCAATGAATGTTGTTTTTAAGTTCATTCCTTTTTATTAGACTTTATCTTACTTTTCTTTTTATTTTATTTTATTTTCCTTTTTTGGCAAGGAAGATGGGAGAGGATTTTAAGTCATGTTGTAAAGGACAGTTAATAAGGAAACGTCTTGTATACAAACCCCATTGAAAAGTATCTTGTTCTTGAGTCTCCCCGATTCATTTCCCTCCACATTGTGAAGCAGAACACTGTGGTGGATTGTGACCAATATTTGTAAGGGCTTCATAGTTCTGACTTTGGCATGGTACAAGTGATCTATAAAACAAGCACTGTAAAAAAGTGTAGAATACTCCTAAAATATAGCTGACTATATGGCAATGCAGAGAGAAATAATTTACATATAGAAACAAGGAAGCACTGAATCTTTAAAAAGCTTTATGCTTTCACTGTTAATTCTCTCTCTCTCACACACACACACACACACACACCACACACACCACACACACCACACACACACACACACACACACACACACACACACACACACTGTTTACCTTTTTAACAGAACAGGAATTATGAAGCCTCTTAAATATCTTTTATACCATGGATTGAAGAGCTGGTCAAAAAGTAATGAAATGACAGACACATTTTTAAATACTAGAGTTATTCAGGTTGATGTTACTGTTGCCAGGGAACCTTTTTACTGTTTTCCACTATTTCAGTTCAGGGGGATGGAAATAAGGTTACTTATTCTGCAGTTTTAAAAAACAGAAAGGTTTGTGGGTTGTTGTTTTTAAATGAACTATTAACTGTGAGACACTCTACAGCCTTTGAGAGCCTCAAGTGATTGGAACATTTTGCTGGAACATCTGCTGGCTAATGCTTGATTCTCAGGTTATTAATCTTCTTCACAGGTAAGCAGGTGATTCACCCTAATCAAGTTGCTGTTGTCCAAGAACAGTTCACGCCAAGCCCTGAAAAAATAAAGTGGGCGCAAGAACTGATTACAGCTTTCGATGAACATCAGCGCATAGGAAAGGTAAACCTCTTTGTCCCTTTGCTGAGTGAGTGTTGTTTCAGATGAAGGAAATTTATATTCTGTCATTTTTTATATTATGAAGAAAACAGGAGCAAGTACATAGTACAGTATACAGAATATCCTTGTGCACTATGTTTTATACAAGATGCATTAGTGGTGGGATAAAGTATTGTATATGGAAATCCATGGCACATTCATTTCATATGGCAGTTGCAATCATTTATTAGTATTATTAGTATTATTTTTAGTACTGTATGAATAATAGCCTTTGAAATAAATGTAGATATTGCAACTTAGCATCAAGCTAGTTCAGCTAATTGAATTAGTAATCTTATTTATGTATTTGAAGATGAGGAATAATGTAAAACTTTACTTACTCACTCACTCACTTATTGTGGTTTTATAGCCTGCCCTTTACTCAAATTTACAGCCAATTTACAAAATGCCCACCTGACTTAAAATTAAGAAATTGGCTAAGCAGTCTTTCTTTTCTCTTTTTCTGCTGTCCAAATAGCAGATAGCATTTGTTCTGTTTTTGATCTTGACGATACTTGCAAGGAAAGTTATCCATAATACATGCATGCTTACAGGATAGGCCCGTGTTCATTCCAATGTGGGTTTGGAAAGATATTTATTAGAACTTATTTTTGGACTGGAGTTTTTTAATATATGAAAGAGAGCAAATTAGCGCTTGAATATGATTGTTCCTAATTTAGTGCATCATTGAGTCTCATGTTTCCTGCTCTGTGGGTTTCTGCTATGTAAACATTGTGGTGGTGAAGCACAATCTGTCTTCACTTTGTGCCAGTAACACTTAAATTAGGGGTCGCCTGAAGGAAAATTTTATGCTAGCTGCAGCATTGTCGGCTAATTATCTTAAAGGTTATTTGCTATAATGTAGTTTGCCACTTTCGGGAGGTGGGAGTTGCAATTAAATGTGCTTCTTTTAGTAAGAGCCAAAATCGGAAATGGTTCTCCAGCCAGCAAAGTTTTAGTGTCCAGAAGTGCAGCAGAGTAGGTGTGACTCTTTCAGTGCCATTTGCACAACATGCAATTGCCAAAAATATATGTATACATAGAATATATGGGCATATGTACTTTGATCCCTCACAACTTCCATTATCACTTCACTGTTCTTTGAAACTCTAGGGCTATTTTCATGCATTTGTTACAGAAATACCAAAATAACATACATATTTGTATGTTACCATGACATTTTTATAGCACCTGCTTTTCAGAATAAACCGATGATGATTCCTCTCCCATGTTAACTAGTAGTTTATTGTGTAACTGCAACACTGAAGGACAACCTGGACACTAACATAAGGTATAACTAAATTCGCAATCTGTATCTGTTCCTTTTATTCACATTATTTATATATGCTTTATTGTTCTGAATAATAAAGATAAAATAGACTAACAGCTTTCTTTTTTCCCCATTTCCTATTACCCCCTTTTCTGTTTTGTATTTCTCTATATACACCCATCTGTGGCTGTGCAGTGCAGTGATGGGGTTGTACATATGGCACCTAATAATTTCTAGGCAATTCTGAACAGTGCACAGAAAGATAATGAAGAGGCTGATAATCAGGCAGAATCTTTATATTTAGCTCTTTTTCACTGTTAAGCAATACACATTTTCAGTATCAAACCCCTTTCAGTATCAAAAACCTATTGTTCAAACAACTCCATTAGCAGCTGCACACCTAACATATAAGGAATTTGTATCGTTAAAGAGTGTTGTTGTTTTTTAAATTGTTCTAAAGAATGTTAGCTACAGGTCCTCTCAAATTGTTGCTTTGTTTAATGCTTCTCCAAATTTCATTTTGGAATATATTGGAATACATGGTAATGCAGTTAAGGGCAAATAGCTCAAACCATTTTTAGAAAAGCTATTGTACTTCCCAGCTAATTTGTTTTGCCCACTGCCTGTGAATATGATTCATGGAAATATGGCAGTCCTGTATGACCTAGTGTTAACTCCTAGTATTTATAAATGTGACAGAAGGCATTCTCTATGGAATTAAATTTTGACCTCATCAAAGTGAACGAGAGCTTTGCCATTGACTTTGGCAAAAGTCTGGTCGCACTCCAAAGGTGAGATGAAATGGGATGCTGTGTGATCAATGTTTCCTGAAGATCTCTTATCAGAGTTTGCATTGGTAGCCTGAAAAATCTAGCACTTTGAAAAAAGTCTGCTCAAGTCCCATCACATAATTTTCAAAAAAACCCCAGCAACAACAACTTGTGTGATGAGTGCAAAAAGGATACTAAAATTTTCATCATGATTTAAGGCTTCTTGTCTTGATACACTGTACTTTGTATGTTGCTTATACATTACTGTTTTCCTTCTAAGAGACTTAATACTGTATACAGATACTACATTGCCAGCAATAATGTTGCTTGCCTTTATTTTGCTTCCAATCTCTTTTGTTATACTAAAGCCTCACATTTCAGCAAAAATGAAAACAGAACTCTAGACTGATAGTATTAAGTCTTCCTCTAGTATTAAGTACAGTACATGCGTGTGCATGTGTGTTATTAATCAAAACTGAAAGCCTGGAAACAAAATGAAACTCAAAGGATTAGAGTGACTCGTTTGCTCACAGATAAATTGCTGGTCTTGAGCCTCTGGGATCACAGTTTATTGTTAATTAGAAGTTCTTTGAGAACAAAGTTCGGTGCCCTCAGTCAACAGTAGTTTACATTAACATACAGCAATCAGTTCACACCATTTATCACCGTTTGGAGGGTACAAACCAGTGTTCTTTGAGCAAGTCATACTCCTGCTTCTAGGAGAATGAAACACTTTTGTTGAGCATGAAGCAATAAATAGACTAGAAATAGTTGAGTCGTAAATGGTTATTTCAACTGTGTTATATATCGGGACTGACATTATGGTAAGGGAGCAGCAGCAAATTCAGTATCAAAATTGAGATTTTTTGTTTATTTGCTTGCACGGCAAGGAAACTTGAGTTATAAAATCTTATGAAAAATGGAATGGTTGGAGAACATTGATATTGCCACGATAAGTTTTCTACACCAATATATAATGTACGTTTACTTTATTTATCTATAATGGCACCACCCTATAATGGCAGGATTCAGTTAATAGATATTTATACACCATTCCACCAGTTTTGCTTAGATCTTTTCTCATGAATAAAGGATTTAAAAATAATTTAATCAACATAAAATTATGAAATTGTATGTTATCTTAGGCTATAAGTAATAAGGTAATATATAAATTTTAAAGTTTTTTTTTAATTTTGAAGGAATTGATATACTTTAGGTACTTTCAGTCCCAACGAAAAGGATACTCTGAGCACTGCGCTGTAACTGTGTAAGAAAAATTTAAAACATTTAGAAAACATTATTACGTTGTTTTCATTTTTTATGTTCGTTAAGACTGTATTGACTTAAATGTCTCTCTTTTTAAATTCAGTTTAAAAATCCATAGCTAATAGATTGTCAGTCATTTTTATGCAGACCAGCAATATACTTATAACCAGAAAAGTATCAGAAATCCAGCTCAGTTAAGAACATCTGTATATGTCAGTAGGTTTTTGTGCATGGATCACTTAGAATTAAGAGTACAAAGCAAAACTCAAGTAAGAATGTTCACATTAAGCACATTTTGTTCTGTATTGGGATATGTATGTTCTTACACAACATGTTATCACCCCTTTATTTCCATGTGACTAATGACCAGGGGTGTGGAATCTAGATGTGTAAAAGCAGAAGAACCTAAACATATTTAACAGTTGAAAGTTCTTAGGGGAAGGGGAGGAAATGGTTTTGAAGCAAGATATGACTCTAACAGATAGATTCTGTTTAGTTGCATCAAAGGATCAACTGAGATAAATAATCACCTTAATATAGTCAAATACAGAGAATATTGTGACAAATGTGATATTGTTAGTACAGTAATACTTCTGATCCCACAGTAGTGCTTATTTATGTATTCAGTGCCATGGATAAAGCTGTTCTTTGTAGTATTATTCCACAGGAGCATACAGTTTGGTTCTGGACACACACTGGTAAATTACCACTGTAGGTGCTTAGCTTCCTAAGAATTTCAACATTCTAGCCTTCATGACTATGAACACCTGCTTAAAAGAATGTGGATGGTGCCTGGTGAGGTTTACAAAACAAAGGAATAGCTTATACTGTAACTGAGGCTGCAGTACCCCATGAAGTTCCTTGTCTGGCCACCTGATTGACAGATCCAAAATAAATTACATAGATTAGTATGAATTGCAGGATGCTTTATATGAAATAAGACAAATCAAGCAAGTTGTTTTCATTTGCATTATTTACACTGGTTACAGAATCCAAATTCTCTTGAACGAAAACTGACTTTCTCTTGACACGGTCCAGGCATCTATGTGTATAATCTGTCACTCACAGATTGAGAGGAATGAATGTTGTCTCAGTCACAAAATCACTGGACAAGACATTTTCTTGTAATCTTAGTTTCTCATCTGTTGAAATAAAAACCACCACCAAACTAGGGAGTTATAAAAATTAATTTTATTCATTATTTAAAGAAATTTTTAGCTGATGCCTTTCATTACTAACAGTGCCTGGATAGTCACAGTATGTAAGACATTATAATTAATAACCTTATAAAACATACAGCAATCACTTAACATCAGATTCAGGGGATACCATCTTTAAATTATACTGTTCTGATACAGGGGAGCTTAAGGATAGTATTATACAGGTCCAACTGTTGAGCAACATCCTAGCAGAAAAGCTTTTTCTCAACTGGCTTTGAAATTTAACCAATGTCAATGCCAGTCCAGTGGGTCTGCCATCACTGAGAAAGCCTTGTTATATCATCCAGACATTTGGGCTTCATCTGATGATCGTGTGACCAAAATAGCATCTGCAGCATGTCTCAAGTTGTGGCAGGGTGATGCAATGTGTGGGAAGAGAGGAAACAGAGGAAAGGCTAAGTGAGCTTTGGGTGCTGGGGAGAGGCCTATTTCACTGGG